TAAAGGGAATTGTTTTTAACGAACCACCTACCACACTTATGAATATGCAACAACGGATTGTAAACGCTTTTGCAAGTATTTCACCTGAAATGTTAGGAAGAGTGCAAAGGTCTTTTCAGCAGCGAATTAATTTGTGCCTGAATGAAAATGGAAGACATTTTGAACAATTACTATAGTATCTAACGTTTTTACTATGTATTTTCAATTTTTTTACCTTGCATGGTTTTTGAATAAAATAATTAATCTTATTATTATTAGTATTAGTATTATTTGTTATTAGAAGTCATTTTGACTCTTACATTTTGACAGTTGTTTTGTCCCAACACTTTCTATGTACTTAAAAATGTAATTAAATGGTTACTTTTGTGAAAAATATTGAATATCTCAACAACTATGAAGTTTACAAATAAGATATGGCATATCACATTAAAGAGGAGAAAAAGACCTATCGAATGATGACATAAAATATGGGGCACTCCATTTGAAAAAAATTATCTGAAGTTTGCAAAGTTTGACATTTATTTCTGAACACCCTGTATTACTAAATTTAAATTGCTCATAATCAAAATGATGCTTATTAACTGCACTGGGATTGTTGCTAAAACTTATTCTTACCTTTAAAAACTGAGGTCGCTACGATTCTTTAAAGTTCAGCTTGCTTTTGCAAGATTTTTTGAAAAAAAAATTGTAAGTTGACAACACTGTATTTAAATCAAAAAGTAAATGGACAACAATGTAGAGGTTGAAAGATGTTATCGGAAAACTTAAATAAATACAGTGTGTTCCTTTTAAAAAAATGTTTGTTTTTGTTATACCGCAAAAATGGAACACCCTGTATTGTTGAAAATAATTTCTCGGCATAAAGATTTTCAAACCAACAATTTTTTGTAGGAAATTTTTTTTCTATCCCTCACTGTAAAGGCACTAGGAAAGCCCGACGCACTGTTGCAGGGCCCTGTATATATATATATATATATATATATATATATATATATACAGTGAGCGCGTTAAAATCCCCCTTTTGAACCATATAAGATATCGATGTCGGACAGAAACCAAGGTAAACTATATTGTGTTTACTACTTTTTGACGTCAAAATAAAATTTTTTGCCTAACAAGTGCCAAAGGGCAGTATCAACTTGAAAATTTCAAATGGAAAGGGGGGTGCTTGTGATACCTTATTTGAAAGGTATTTTAATTCTCTATATAACACTTTTTTGTTTTTAAAATCCGGTTAACCATAGCTTAGTTATTAGGGTTAAAAAATTTTAAAAACACGTTTTATTTTGGTTTTAATTTATTAAGAAAAGTTTAAATTAGATGTTCGAAATGTTCCCCTTGGACAGCTTGACACACAAATAGCATATCTTCAAATTCATTTATAACATTAGCAAAAGTTTTTTGGGTAATACTAGCACATTCACGTCCAATCCGGTGTTTAAGATCATCTATGGTTTCCGGTTCTGTAATGTAGACCTTCGATTTTAAATATCCCCACAAAAAAAGTCAAATGGCGTTAAATCGGAAGAACGAGTCGGCCATTCGGTAGGACCAAGCCTACCAATCCACCGATTTGGGTAACTTTTATCAAGCCATTGTCTAACATCCCTAAAATATTGTGGGGGCGCTCCATCCTGCTGAAATATGACTTCTCTGTCAAATTCATCAGGATAGGTATTGATTATTTCCTCAATCATTGGTTGGATTTGGGTTTGAAGCATGTTAAGATACAGGATACCTGTCAAATTTTGTTCCAAAAAGATGGGGCCTACGATGTGGTTTTCCAGTATTCCCGCCCATACATTAACTTTTTGCGGATACTGGGTGTGACCTTCTCGAAAAAAATGTGGATCAACATCTGACCAGTAGCGTACATTTTGTCTATTAACAGTACCATTTATAAAAAAAGTGGATTCATCACTAAAGCAAATTGAACTTTATGTAGAGTGGATTTTGTGCTATGCGCTCACACCTAAGTTCACAAAATTGCATTCGGCGATCAGGGTCATCTTCAGTTAGTTGGTGGAGTATTTGAAGCTCGTAGGGATAAAATTTGTTCTTCTTTAAATATTTTCCAACAGTTGTTTGAGATACAACCCTAGACCACAAAAGTCTCTGCAACTGCGGCCGTCGATTGTTGTGGAATATTGACAACCGAACCAACTATTTGCACCTGTTTCTCTTCGGAAATTGATTTCCTTTCCGATCCTTTCTGCCTACCTACACTTCCACTTGTTTGAAATTTTGCCACCAAATCCCGTAGATATTTCCTGCAAATTGGGTTTTCTGGGTACCTTTCATTAAACACCCTTTCTGTTTCGTGCAAATTTCGCCCCATTTCACCATAAATAAAAATAGCCTTCGTTTTTCTTCTAATGGGCGATGTCGAACCATTTTACATTCAAATATTAATTTAAATTGGATGAAGAACTAACAATTTAATCCTAAAGATATTAATTATTTTATTTCTGTATCTTCTTAAAAACAGGATATTGGTATGGGTATTTAAAACAAAAAAGTTGTCAAAAAACGCATAATTATTGCACTGGTTTGCAATAATTCGCACTCTGCGAAAATGTGAGTAGAAGCGACAAAAACGCTTAATAACTAAGCTATGGTTAAACGGATTTTAAAAACAAAAAAGTGTTAAATAGAGAATTAAAATACCTTTCAAATGAGGTATCACAAGCACCCCCTTTCCATTTGAAATTTTCAAGTTGATACTGCTCTCTCGGCACTTGTTCAGCAAAAAAATTTCATACTGACGTAAAAAAGTAGTAAACACAATATTGTTTACCCTGGTATTTGTCCGACATCGATATCTTTTTTGGTTCAAAATTTAACAGGGGGGGGTTTAACGCGCTCACTGTATATATATATATAGGGGAAGGTGGGGGAATTCTGCGCATCTAAGCAAAATCTCTAGTATCTTTGTTAAGTTTAAATGTGAAATTTTGCAATTAATACCAGCGATAGTCTACTATGTTTACTATGTGTATATAATGCGCAATTTATAAAAAAAAAATGTTTGGTATGCAAAAACTACATTTTTTTAAATAATGCATTTGCGCAAAATTACCCACCTATCAGGGTAATTTTGCGCATCATAATGGGAAAATTTGCGCTGTATAGAGAAAGATTTGTAGGTATCTAAATAAACCGTTTATTTCTATAATATTATTATATTAAAACATAAAAATAAAACAAAACTATTTTCTCTATGAAACAAACAAAACAAACAAAATCAAAAATAAATAACTAAAAATAAAATTTTTGTTCTTAGAAATAAGAGGGTCTACATACAGCATTTGTCACATATGTAGTTTTAGGGGGTTTTTTTTCGCTACACTCCGCGTGTGCCCAAATGGAACTGTTTATGCTGAACAATCTAGGCTCCTGTATACCAAAGCTCCCATATTGGCCAAATTTTGTAGCGCAAAATTACCCCAATTTTTCAGCGCAAAATTACCCCCATTGCAAAAAAATATTGTGATACTAAAAAACTTTCCAAAAGTTAACCTGAACAAAGTTGTGTTAAAAACATTTAAGCGATTGGACAGAAATTTAAACTTAACTCGTAGCGGAAACGACATGGATTTCTTAGATCAACGTACATGTATCACAGTTAGCTAGTGACCATGGTCACTAGCTAAAAGCTACAAGCTTAATTGCGGTACACTTTAGTCCCCGTATACCCAAAGCAACGTTTCCAAGTTTGCAACATTCAAAAAATGTATTATTTACTTCATATCTGGAAGAATTGTTTATGCGTAAAATTACCCACCGCGCAAAATTCCCCCACCTTCCCCTATGCGTTAAATAGAGAATCGTAATATCTTTTAAATAAGTTATCACAAGTTCCCCTTTCCATTTGAAATTTGTAAGTTGATACTACCCTCTTGGCACTCCTCAAATAAGCACCTATCAATTTGACAACAAAAAGAAGTATACTTAATATCCTTGACAAAGGTTTTTTCCTGTCGTTCAAAAGATAACAGAGGGATGACTTTAACGTGCGCACTGTATACTGATTAAAGATAAGAACCGTTGAACCGTTAAATCAATGTTCAAAATTGGAAGCCCCTGTAAAATTTGACCTATTTTCTGAATAATTGTGCATTGTTTTGTCAGTTTTATGTCTGTATATCTGTAGCCAGTTATTGTTAATGGACGGCATGTATTTGGCACCAACAGCAAGTAAGCGCTGCGACTAACCCTACACAACGACGTCAGTCTAAGATTATAAAAGACGTCAGTGTGGCACCGACTCTGCTTCGTGTGGTGTCAGCTCACAACCCTCCTTCCTATGGATTTACGAGAATTTAGGTTATAACGTGCTTATCAAAGTACAATACCTTTTAATTACAGGTAATTTTAATTAATTTTAAGAAGATTTTCCAATAAACAATTTAAATGTTTTATTTTAAATTTTTTATTTTTTATTGACTTTCATTTAGATTGTTTTATTTTAATGGGTCACAACTAAAATATTTATTTATAAAACATGCTACTAATAATTCTGAATGGTTAAAAATGGATTTATTTGAATAGAAATAAGCTACGAAATTAACTAAAATTTTTAATTTAGATCTGAGCCACATCCAGTTTCAAATAATACGTTTAAAGAATCTAACATTACTATTGAAACAAACAATGACGATAACGAGAAAAAGACAGTTTAAGATACATTATTTTATCGTCGACGATATCATCATTTCTCAGACCTAAATGAAATATTTTCATTTTAATATACTCGTAGAATAATAAACTCGGTGCAATAAAAAAAGTAATGCAAATAATTAAAATAAACTGAAGATGGCAAAGATACCGTCATTGTCGGTAGGGCACCCTAGAATATTTTCCTGCTTATAGAATTGCTTAATTAGATTCCATTCCTTATATTAATCACATATTTAATAATACCTACTTTAAAATAGGTATGCAATAGTATTATTTTATGATTCAATGTATCTAGACTTTTATTTTCTGTAATTTTATAGATGAGAATGTTTGAAGAATGTTTTGGTACCGGTCCTTTTATATTTAGAATAAATGAAAATGGCACTGGACCACAGCTTCTTTCGCAAGTAAGTATTATTAATTTTATTTTCTTAATTAAGTAATCTCAAAAATATTCTAAAGGCTTGTTGAAGAGATGATACAAAATACTACTAACTAAGGTATAAGCGAATAACAGTCTGTCACAGGTATGGCTTTCAGAAAATACTAGATCCATTTAGCATTACCAGTGGGTAGCAGTATTTTTTAGAACATGCATTGTATGAAAAATTCAGTTAGTCACCCCTGGTCACTAGTCACGGTTGGAACTTCGCGGTAATAAAATATTATATTATTAACCACTATATTTATGAAATTTTAACTGTAACAAATAGCTAAAAAATCATCTTATTACATTTGACAGACAGTCTTTTACAGACTGCTCTGGTGGAAAACCAACAACATAAAAACACAAAATACTAGGTATTAAAGTAACAGGAAACGCGTCATAACTCCAGTTCGGGATGGGGTATTCGGGATCACTTGTTGCTGATATCAACTAGGTATAACAGGTATTGACTTGGACCTGATATGCGACGTATTTGTTCCCAAAAAAACTTATTGGTATCACCTCTAGCTTATTGTAAAAATATGTAAAGGTGTATTGAAAACTATTTTAAAATAATTTATAAATAAATATTTAAAATGATTAAAATAAATAAATCACATGAAAATAGCCCTGGTTAAGAGTACATAGATATTATTAAAAATATACACACTGGCGGACTAACACGGTCGGGGGCCCGGAGTGGCAAAATCAAATGGGCCCCTAAGTCTTCTTAGATTCAGTTTTTCTTTGAGAAGATATTTTTATTATTCTAAAAAGTAGTTCAATACCTTATATTTAATTGGTTAGTAGTAGTGCAGAGTCCATACATAATATATAATATTATAAAATATAAAACGTGTTATACTTGGAGAAAAAGATGTTGTCACTTATATCAACCAGCCGCTACAATGTCTTGCATTAAAAATACTTCCACCTTTTTTAGACAGAAATCCAGGGAAATGAGGGCATTGAGGACGAGTCCTAGAATATAAAACGTGTTGTACTTAAAAAAAGATGTCACTTATATTAATCAGCCGGTACAATGTCTTGCAACAAAAATACTACCACCTATTTTAAACGACTAAAAGTTAGGTGTAAGTTTTTAAAGTACCATCCGTCTACTTGGAATTCTCGAGAAGATTTTTAAAAGGGATTGTCAATCGTCAAAGAGCTTATAGTTGCCAATGACACGGCCGAAAACGGTGGAATGGAAGAATTTAACAGTATATTAACAATAAAGGAAGATCAGAAACAGTTTCTTTTCAAAGTTGTTAGGGACTACCGTAAGAAATTTCCGAGCAGTAGTAAAACAACATTTTTATTAACAGTTTAGATTCCATTTGTTTGTTTAGATTCGGTTTTTCTTTAATTTCTTCTTTTGCTTTAACATATTTTGTGTTCCATAAATTCAAATTTATAACTTTGTTTTTTTTAATATTATAAAAATAAATCTTCCCTCAAAACAAGGCCCTTGAGGCACGTCTTAGAGTTGATTTATAGAGTTCAAATTATACACAGCTTATTATATTCCTATTTAGAAAAGTTTTAAAGGTTGAGACGGCCCAAATTTCACAACAAAAAATGTCATATATTTTAATATTCTAACCAAGCAACTGAGTTTACCAATATTTAAACTGCATTTGGACAACCGGACATAAGATATAAAGTACCCTTATTAAAAACTGGTTAACAACATTTTTATATTAAAAAGTAAAAATATTAGTTTTTGTATATTGTATTTCAGAAAGGAACCAAAGAGGTTAAAACTTGGCCAACAATTGCATTTTCACGTTTGGAAAAGTTTTGCCAATAAATGTTCAATATAGGACCTAATATTCCTATGATTTTTGTGCAATCGCAATGGTGAACAATAAATGATCAAATTGTGCCCAATAATATGCAAAACAGTTTGGATCAAGTTAACCTTTGGTTTAATTTTGGGAATGTTTGGGCATGGAAAAACGATGAAATTTTTTTTATGTTTATTTGGGCAAAATTGACCAATGACATGGTATTTATGAAGCCCAATTTTCAAATACTACAACAAATTGATAGATTTTAATGTAAACAAGAAAAAGTTTTTTAGTAATATTCTATCAAATATGATTATGACACCGGTTAAATACCACGAAAGACAAGAATACCAAACCAACTTCGAAGGACTTTCTTCCCTACGTCAAAGGGACAACCGAAAGAATAGGCAAAGTTCTCAAAAAACAAAACATTGAGACCACATTTACCGCCGTAGGAAAGATCGGTCAAATACTTCCAAACGCCAAACCAAAAATAGAGTTGGAGGCACAAGGGGTTTACGAAATTCCTTGTACAGACCAATACATGTATCAACGTTCGATGCGAAGAACATCGTAACGCAGTCTTAAAACAGGAAAAAACATCTTCCTTAGCTGAACACGTCCGAAAAACTTCCCATGAAATTGACTTGGCTAGCATCGAACACAGGACCAAACGTACCATTCGTGAAGCCATTGAAATATAAAAAACATCCAAGAAACCTCAACACAAGAGACGATATACAGAGACTACCAACTGCATGGAAACCAGCTCTTACAACCACCAAAACGCCACGCAGATTAACGAGATCAATCGCAGTCACGGTTAATGACGCGGAATCCTAAGAGGGTGTATAAACAACGATCAGCGGCAACGGAGCTCACTCCACGTCTAACTCGCAGCAGAGCAGCAACAGCAGCCCAGCAGATAAGACCTGAAGATGGTACATGAGATTGTACCGAAACGTCGTCAGACATACGGTCCTTTTAAGAACCAAAAACCGACAACACGGAGCAGATCCCGAAAAACCACTAATACATATAAAAAATATAATAATAAATATAAATAATATAATAAATATAGGCACAGAATACAATTAAAAAATTCTGTATTTAAATATTTTAATTATAATAAAAATTTGTTTTTTAAAATAAGGCTTTCTTTGAATTCTGGCACATTTCTTGACGTTGTTCAAGGCCACGTCAAAGAACCTCTAAAACCCATGAGTTCATGTAAACTCTCTAGAAAAAATACCTTTATACGTGTTATAATATTATGAGACAAATAGAATTACGATAAGGCTATCAAGTATTATTTTTTATTAAACATTTAGACTTATTGTAAAATTGTTTGTGATTGGTAACTTTATATGTTATGAAGAACTTTTAAAATAAAAAAAAATAAATCAATTTTATATTCAATGCAAAAATTAAAATTACCTTGCTCACTTTAGGCACTATAGATCTTTAAACCCAATAAATCCTCTTTTTCCTCTGTGACATATAGGTAGAAAATTTATTTTTTAAATTATCCTGCCTGTAGCAAAAGCCTTGTACTTAGTGCATAAATACTAGAAAGAGGCAGTTCTTTTTCTTAGAACTACCAATGTAAATTTTTATTACTTCAAAATTAACGAGGAAATAACAATCTTCGAAAAGTAAGAGTAATTGATTATTTATTAAAAAACTTGAAAACATAAACTTAATTACGTACTCAAATTTTTTTACGCCTTTTGTAGAAAAGGTCTTAAAATATTAATTTCAACTGATTCTTTTTCCATGCTGATAAATTTTTTGTCAAGTTTAACCAACCTGAATTACAAACGCTTAGCCAAACTTCATTACAAATGAATTTGGCGACAAATAACTCTACTGAAGTCTTTATTTTTATTTTTGTTTTTGGTCAAACTTGATCGAAATAGGTACAATTTATATGTCCAAATACACTGTTTAAAATATCTGTGGTGTAAAGAGTAATCCTAAAATGGTGTCAAAATCCAACACCAAGTGGTGTTAATATAACACCATGAATTATGGTTGAAAATGAACACCAAAACGGTGTTTATCTAAAAATATTTGAGAAGTGCACCTACACAGAAAAAAAGGAATAGTTCATTTAACTATATTAATTTAGTTGACCCATAAGTATTTATTTTTTTGTGGATCACGTGATGTTTTTAAATCTCGCCTCTGTTGACTTACATGAAGAATATATAAGCTCAGGTTGTCCTTTGCTTTGGTGTGACACTACAAGTTGTTCGATACTAGACCTTAAATAGGTAAAAACAGCTGTCAATACTTGAAGTATTTTAAGTTAGTGAAACGAACTAAAAACATTATCTCTAGCGAGTTGAAGGTTCCATTTTCTGGAATAATAACACTGGTAATATACTAGTAATGCGTCAAGGAACTTCCTGTTTCCTTTTTTCTGTGTAGTATGATTTAATTTGACCACAAACACATAATATTTAACACTGAAAAGGAGTTCAATTTACACCAGGTAAAATTTATTTTAATACTGTGTGAAAGTTAAATTTACACCATTTTAGTATTTGAATTTACACCCGACCAACGAACCCTATTTAACACCATTTTGGTTTGTATTGATATAGACCAAATATGGTGTTAATTTGGTGTTAAAATGGTCATTTTAAACAGTGTAAACCCCAATAAATGTAAAATATCGTACACCAAACTAGTTGGGAAAAAGTTGACTAATTTCTTTCCCAAACCATGGTTGCTGGGTAATAGTTAAACTACTGTACACAAAGGTTATAGAAAAACTAATAACATAACGAAATTACATATATTTTTTGGGCTTATCATGCTGGTTTTAAGGATAAATTAGCCATTGCCCCCTAACAGGGTGCAAGTACACAACTCTGACGGTTTCTTGAAGGAATTAGGGTCCTAATGACCCAAGCATCTCAAGGCATCCTTAGGACTCTAGGAACTCATGTGCATTAAGCCCATATTACCAATAAGTTAATTACTACTTAAAAGTCATGTTTATGTGGAAGTATATTCCAATATACAGGGTGATTTACCTAACTTATTCATTAGAAGTTTATGGACAACGGAAAAAGATATCGATTTCTATGTATTCTCTTCTATTATAATAATATTAATTTCTAAAGGTTTTATAAACAAATTCAAACCCATAATTAAAAATGCAAGTGGATGAAGGGGT